GGGAAAGTGAGTGAGTCAGGAAGAAAGGGGAACAGGGTTGAAAAGCCTATAGCAGTGCCTGCTCCAGGATTCTGTAGACTCCCCAGAGCTATGCTGTTTCATGTGGTAGCCACTAGCCACAGTCAGGACAGTGGCTCCTGTACAAGGTGAGGGCAAGGCTTCCAGACCAAGGCTGTCAGAAAGTCACATCAGGGCTTCCTACACAGGGTCAGGAGGGTGTTTCCAGAGGGCAAGTTTAGGGGTTCCTATGAAAGATCAGGTCAGAGATTCCCAAAACGGGTCAAGTTACGGATTTCTGTTGGAAGTCAGGGAAAGGCTTCTGCAGAATCCGGTTATAGGCTCCAGCACTGTTATAGGAAGGCTTCCTGTAGGCTATGGAGCGAGGACAGGATTAGGTCAGCAAGCCCTGTACAGCAAGTATGTCAAACTCAAAGGCTATCACGGGCCAAATAAACAAGGTTTAAGTTTATGTGGGCCGCAAAAAAACACACAAAAGCTTCAATTTTCATAGAAACAGGATTATTTTGATAGAGACATGCTGATTACAAAGGGTTGAAATAAATGAGTCATCATTAACATAAAATAATAGAACATTTTAATAAAAATTAATATTTTTTTCTTGAACATTAACTTACCAGACACTGAATAACTGCACAAATTTATAAGTGTAATGCAAATCTATTTTTCTTGTTCTCTGAAAGCAAAATATTTCCTGTTATGCACACCAAACAAGTCAGTACAAGACTAATGATGTGGCAACCGGCTGCTAAAATATTCGCTGCTAGTATCAGTGGAGAGAAATGGTGCGCCTGCACGTAAGGTATGTAAGGAAAATGGATGCAACACAATTATAGTAATCAGTCATTAGCGAATGTTGTAGTTCGTTATTAATAATCCTATATAATAAAAGCCCAGAGACCAAACGGTGGAACAACCAATTGACCAGTGGCTATGACACACACTGACCCCCAGGGGGCAGACGCTCAATGCAGGAGCTGCCCCTGGGGAGTCAGTGCACTACCACAGTGGGAGCGCTGCTTGGCTGACTGGAGGCTGGGAGGTAGGTTCGTGGCCACCGTGGGACTGAGGCCTACCCCGCCGCCTCTCAGTGGTATTGTCCCTGAGCCTGGCCCTGACCGAGTCCCCTGGAGAAGCTACTGCTCCAGCTCCACGGAATATGCCAGACCAGGGAGCGGCCACTCAGAGGGCAGGTCCACAGCCACTCTGCAAACTGAGATGAGCAGGCTGATCCCCACAGGCCACGCCCCCCACCAGTGCACAAATACTGTGCACTGGCCTCTAGTTAGGTATAACAGGATATTCTAAAAATTAAGTTATGAAAAATTTTTTTCTTTTTTAAAAAGTTGTTTTATTGCTTAAAGTATTACAAAGAGTATTACATATGTCTCCTTTTTTTCCCTGCCCTTGACAATCCCCTGGCCTCCCCTACCCCCCAGTGTCTTATGTCCATTGGTTATGCTTATATGCATGCATACAAGTCCTTCGGTTGATCTCTTACCCCCCTCCCCCGGCCCCCAACCCTCCCTGGCCTTCCCGCTGTAGTTTGCCAGTCTGTTTGAGGCTGCTCTGCCTCTGTATCTTTGTTCATAAGTTTATACTGGTCTTTATTATCCATAAATGAGTGAGATCATGTGGTATTTTTCCTTCATTGACTGGCTTATTTCACTTAGCATATGCTCTCCAGTTCCATCCATGCTGTTGAAAATGGTAAGAATTCCTTCTTTTTTACAGCAGCATAGTATTCCATCGTGTAGATGTACCACAGTTTTCTAAGCCATTCATCTACTGATGGGCACTTAGGCTGTTTCCAGAGCTTAGCTATGGTGAATTGTGCTGCTATGAACATAGGGGTGCATATATCCTTTCTGATTGGTGTTTCTGTTTTCTTGGGATATATTCCTAGAAGTGGGATCACGGGGTCAAATGGCAGTTCCATTTTTAATTTTTTGAGGAAACTCCATACTGTCTTCCATAGTGGCTGCACCAGTCTGCATTCCCACCAGCAGTGCACGAGTGTTCCCTTTTCTCCGCATCCTCTCCAGCACTTGTCGTTTGTTGATTTGTTGATGATAGCCATTCTGACAGGTGTGAGATGGTATCTCATTGTTGTTTTGCTTTGCATTTCTCGAATGGTTAGTGACTTTGAGCATGTTTTCATATGTCTCTTGGCTTTCTGAATGTCCTCTTTGAAAAGTGTCTATTTAGATCCTTTGCCCATTTTTTGATTGGATTGTTTATCTTCCTTTTGTTAAGTTGTATGAGTTCTTTATAAATGTTGGAGATTAAACCATTATCGGTGATAACATTGGCAAATATGTTCTCCCATGCAGTGGGCTTTCTTTTTTTTTTTTTTTAAATATATTTTATTGATTTTTTACAGAGAGGAAGGGAGAGAGATAGAGAGTTAGAAACATCGATGAGAGAGAAACATCGACCAGCTGCCTCCTGCACATCTCCTACTGGGGATGTGCCCGCAACCCAGGTACATGCCCTTGACCGGAATCGAACCTGGGACCTTTCAGTCTGCAGGCCGACGCTCTATCCACTGAGCCAAACCGGTTTCGGCTGCAGTGGGCTTTCTTGTTGTTTTGTTGATGGTTTCTTTTGCTGTGCAGAAGCTTTTTATTTTGATGTGGTCCCATTTGTTTATTTTCTCTTTAGTTTCCAATGCCCTAGGAGCTGTATAGGTGAAAAAATTGCTTCGGCATATGTCTGAGATTTTGTTGCCTTTGGATTCTTCTAGTATTTTTATGGTTTCCCATCGTACATTAAGTCCTTTATCCATTTTGAGTTTATTTTTGTGTATGGTGTAAGTTGGTGGTCTAGTTTCATTTTTTTGCATGTATCTGTCCAATTTTCCCAACACCATTTATTGAAGAGACTATCTTGACTTCATTGTATGTTCTTGCCTCCTTTGTCAAATATTAATTGAGCATATTGGTTCGGGTCAATTTCTGGGCTCTCTATTCTATTCCACTGATCTATATGCCTGTTCTTGTGCCAGTACCAGGCAGTTTTGAGAACAGTGGCTTTGTAATACAGCTTGATATCTGGTGTTGAGATCCCACCTACTTTGTTCTTTCTCAGGATCGCTGCAGCTATTCGGGGTCTTTTTTTATTCCAGATGAATTTTTGGAGAGTTCGTTCTAGGTCTGTGAAATATGCCATTAGTAGGTTACGAAATTTTTATTAAAACGTTTCTTACATACCGTTATATTGGCTGGGCTGCAAAAATATTTGTTGTGGGCTGCATGCAGCCTGCGGGCCACAAGTTTGACATGCTTGCTGTACAATGTCTGGGCAGGGGGTCCTGTACCAGGTGAGCCTGTAGGTGCCTGTATAGAATGAGGTCTGGACTTAAAGCAGAGGGTCAGGACAGGCGCCCCACCACAGGTTCAGGAAAAGATTTTCCATGTAAGTTCAAGACTGAGGTTCATGGTGAGAGTTGGATCACAGGTTCCTGTGGACTCTGTGGGGTGGGGCGTGAGGTAGGGATTGTTGTGAAGAGTGACGTCAGGGGTCATCGTCAACAATGTAAGCAAGTTCCTGTACTCAGTCAGCGTTCCCAGAGTTTACAGATGGGGGTTTCTTTTTTATATAATATATTTTTATTGATTTCAGAGAGGAATGGAGAGGGGGAGATAGAAATGTCAATGATGAGAGAGAATCATTGATCAGTTGCCTCCTGGACGCCCCCTCCTGGGGATGGAACCCACAACCCGAATATGTGTCCTGAGTGGGAATCGAACCAGTGACCTCTTGGTTCATGAGTTGATGCTCAACCACTGAGCCACACCGGCCGGACCAGAGTATTTTTTCAGGTGTTCATGAAGGAAAGCACCTGAGCAGTCCAGCTGTTGTTGACCACAACCTTGAGCACTCAGGAAACGGTGCTGCTTGCGGTTAGGAGCCTCTGGGCAGTGTGGAGGCTACGCCACGGAGCCTGGCTCAGCCCTGTGCCACCAGCTGTGTGGCCTTGGAAGAGCCACTTAACCTGTCTGGGTTAGGATGTCACCTGACTCCAGGCATGCTCCGATGGGAGGGTTTGTTCCATGGAAGAACAGATTCCACTTTAGGGGGAGCAGTTCACCCAGGTGAGTGGGTGCGTTGGGGAGGGAGTTGGCACTGTGGGGAGCTCACCACTTATGGGGTCTAAATATCCTCCCTAGAGATTATTTTGTTCTCCTAATCTCCCCCTCCTTCTCTACCATTTCCCACAGGGCTGCAGGCCGAGCTGGGCTGAGAGAGATAAGAGATGAGTGACAGGAGGGCCCATGGACAGCCCCACGGTCCCAGACTGGCCTTCTGCCCTTCTTGCTGGCTGCCTTTCCAGCCCCACTCTTGCCTCCCATTCCTGTCCTGAACATGTCTTCTGTCCCTTGGAGGTGGGTCCCTAACTTACAGACTGAAATTGTATATATTGATACCTCCGCAAACAAGTGTACAGAGCTGCTCACGCTGTCAGCCACCCAGAGGCACTGTGACAGGGCACAGGATATGCGATACGCTCACGGACACATGCTTGCACACAAGTGCTGCCCTTGCCAGACCCACAAAGACCTCCCGACACGCAGTACTTCAGGTCACACTGCTAGGTCTCCACATACCGTCCTACACAGTCCTTGTTGAGCATCCCAGAAATGTTTATTGAGCAAAGGCTGTGCCGGGTACACATGCTGTCACACCGTCTCAGAACCACCCTGCATGGTGCACAATCACATGAGCACAGCCTCACATGTTGCCTCAGCACACCCCGTGACACACATACCCCCACATCCTCTCATACAGTCACTTGTGCCCCCTTTCTCACAGTTGTCTGGTGTCATGCACACCATCTCTCACAACCTCACCCCCATGGTCACCACCTCACAGAGCAGTCAGCACACACACTGTCTCTGCCCATGACGTGTGCATGTACACGCCATATCATAACACCCTGGTTGCTCTCACACGCAGTTTCACATACTAATACACTCTTATACTTGCACATCATAACCCACTATCATGAAGGGTCCCACGTGCTGTCTCACACAGCCTCACGCCATCACCAGAGAACCACAGGCACCGTTGCACACCCCACCTACCACGGCTCTTTATTCAGTCCCACTCAGACTCACACCTCCAACTTCAGGACTTTGGTGCTTTATTTTACAAATCGTTGATGGTCCAGACCAAAGGTTGTGCGGGGGCTAACAGGTTGGGTTGTAGAAACTTCTGGCTCCACGCGGAGAGGGACCCTACCCCTGCTCTGAGGCCATGCTCTGTGTCCTCATGGGCTCAGTGGCGCCTCCACAGTGCTGGTGGGAGGCATGGGGCCTGTGGGGAAGGAGCCTGTGGGCGAACCCAACAGGGGCCCGGGGAAAGGCATGAGGTGGCTGACAGGCCCTGACAGCACCTCGGGGCCGGGGCCTTGGTAGAGATGGGCAGTACCAGGTGGGCCCAGTGTCAAGCCTGAGGCCACTTCCCCACAATTCCCACCATCGCTGCCCCCAGCCACCACCATGAAGCCACCAGCTGGTCCATCAGCTGGTCCTGTGCCTGCCAGACTCGACACTGGCTTCTTTTCTTTCTGTGATGTCCTGGGTTTTCTAGTCTGGATACCATCCTTCCGCATGGTCAGTGGCCGGTTCACCTGATGAAAGAGAGGCCATGAGTGTTCCCCAAACTCAGACTCTTGCCTCTGTGTCTCCACCCTTTCCACCCCACTCCTTAACAGTCGGGAACTGGGTCAAGGACTAGGGGAGCAGACCCCAGCTGTGGCACAGGTAATGCCCTAAGGAATCATGAGCTTGTGAGGCCCTAAGCCAGGGAGCCTCTAACCATAGGACTAGCTGATGGCTGGAGGGGAGGAGAAGGGAGATGAGAAATGGAGGAAAGAGAGGGGAAAGGGAGGGAAAAGAAAGGCAGGGAGGAGATAACAGTGCAGAGAAGAGAGGGATGAGGGGGAAGGAGGGAGGAGAATAACAGGGAGAAGAGAGGAAGGGGATGAAGAAGAGAGGGAAGGGAGATAGGAAGAATACAGGAAAGGAAAAGAAGGAGAAGGAAGGGAGTGTTGGTGGGATGGGGGAGGGGCAGGTCTCAGGAAACAGGGCACACCTGGTGTAATTTGTAATAGAGGCCGCAGGCATTGCACACGGGGTCCCCACTGGCATTCCTCCGCCACAGTGTCGTGGTAGTTGTCTGGCAGTTGGTGCACTGGGTACCTGCCCGCTTGCTGACGATCTGGGGGCAGCAAGAATGTGAGGGTCAGTGTAATGGGGGGGCGGGGGCGGTGGTGGAGGACCCAGGAGGTGAGGGTCAGGGTGCAGGCAGGGCTTCCTGGACAAGGCGTAGACTGAGGGTTCTCTGAGGGGCAAGGACATGGCCTCCTGTCCCGGGGCTTTCCAAATGGCATGGGGGGCTTCATCAGTGGTTCTCAGCGTTGGCGGACATTGGACTCACTGGGGGAGTCGAAAACAATCCTGATGCCCAGGCAGCGCCCCAGACCAAGTAAATCAACCCATCTAGGGAGGGCCCCTCGGTGATCCCAGTGTGTAGCCAAGAATGAAAACTGCTGTGCAGGGAGTGGACGGCGTGCCTGCTTGCAGCCTGAGGGTGGGCTGAGGGTAGACACTCCTGCACAGAGCTGGGTCCCTGAATGGATGGGGCAGGGAGGGGGGATGTGGGTTCTCATATAGTGTGAGGACAGAGATCCCTGCGCAGAGTGAGAACAGAGTACCTGGGTGAGGGGAGGCCGGCCTGGGGTCTTACCCGGCGCCTTTTGGGCTTGTTCTGCCTATTCATCATCTGACCATCGGCATTGCATAGCCAGCAATGTGGAGTGGCTCTCGCTCTGCAGTACCTATACTCCCCGCCCTCTGGTGTGGTGGAAAGGGGGCAAGAGGGACCAGGCTCAGCCCAGCTTTGCCTTGGACCCCATCCCCCTCCTCAACCTCCCTGTCCCTTTGGGGGAACCTCACCACAGGTGGACAGGGGCAGGGTTCCAGGAAGGTTGGGGGAGGAATTGACCGCTGGACTGGGGGGGCTTCTGGTTGGAGGAAAGAAGCTCATAGGTAAGTCGGGGGGCCCGTAGGCACTGCTGGGGACAGGGATGGAGGAAGGCACTGCAGGTCCCAGTGTCAACAGGTCCGGAGTCAGCCGCTGTGTCCTGAAGTTCTCTAGGAAGGTGTTTCTCGAATAGGAATCTTCTGAGGCCTGGGGAGGGGTGTAGTCCCAGGGGGGGCTCACAGTTGCTGGAGGGTAGAGCCCCGTGTTGCCATAGGCCCAGCTGGTGTATGGTGAGCCTCTTGGGGTCCCCTCCAGACAGTAGAGGCATGAATTCACCAGGAAGACTGTTTGGGGGGGGTATGGGAAGGAAGAAAGAAGGGAACAGAAGGTCTGAAGCCATCCTGCTTTCAGGGTGCAGTGATTCCCAACAGCCCCACATGGTGGCCAACCTTTCCACCTTCCCATAGGTTGCCAGAGCAGCTGCTGGCCATTGGGTGACTCCTGGGTCTGAGCCCCACTGGCCACTCTGGCAGCTGCAGTCACCTGCAGCCTTTTCCCAATGGGCTTTGAGCATAACTTTGTGGAGCCCCATGGGCCACTCAACTAGGGCCACCCCCACCTACTTACCATATTCATTCCTAATGAGGCAGTCTGGGGATGTACATTCCCAGGTCTGCACATACACAGGGAACGTGATCCACACAGCCTCGTGAGGGCTTCCAGCCATTTCTAAGATGGCCTCTTTGTTGGGTTCTACACTAGCTAAGGGTCTCCATGGCAACCCCAATAACATGGAACCCTGCCAGAAAAGCCAGTGCAGCAGCTGCCTGCATATGCTCCAACTGGGGCTGGGGATCGAACCTAAACCCAGGTGCATGCCCTTGTCTGGGAATCAAACCCGAGACCCTTCAGTGCACAAGCCCATGCTCTAACCACTGAGAACACCAGCCAGGGCTCATTAAAGGACCCATGAGAGGTTCCTATGGGTCAGGCCTGGAAGTTGTGTATGTCACTGTGCTCACTCTATTGATCAGAACTGTCACATGTCCACGCGTCATTGTAAGGGAGGCTGGGAAAGTTAGTGAGTCAGGAAGAAAGGAGAACAGAGTTGAAAAGCCTATAGCAGTGCCTGCTCCAGGATTCTGTGGACTCCCCAGAGCTACGCTGTATCATGTGGTAGCCACTAGCCACAGTCAGGACAGTGGCTCCTGTACAAGGTGAGGGCAAGGCTTCCAGACCAAGGCTGTCAGAGAGAGAGAGTCACATCAGTGCATTTCCTTGATCTCAATCATTCCAGTTTCCCAGAGGGCAAGTTTAGGGGTTCCTATGAAAGATCAGGTCAGAGATTCCCGAAACGGGCCAAGTTACGGATTTCTGTTGGAAGTCAGGGAAAGGTTTCTGTAGAATCTGGCTATAGGCTCCAGCACTGTTATAGGCTAGGCTTCCTGTAGAGGGTCAGGGCCATGGAGCCAGCACAGGGTTAGGACAGCAAGCCCTGTGCAGTGTCTGGGCAGGGGGTTCTGTGCCAGGTGAGGCTGTGGGTGCCTGTATAGAATGAGGTCTGGACTTAAAGTTAGGGGGTCAGGACAGGCGCCCCACCACAGGTTCAGGAAAGGATTTTACATGTAAGTTCAAGACTGAGGTTCATGTTGAGAGTTGGATCACAGGTTCCTGTGGACTCTGTGGGGTGGGGCGTGACGTAGGGATTGTTGTGCAGAGTGACATCCGGGGCCATCGTCAACAATGTAAGCAAGTTCCTGTACTCAGTCAGCGTTCCCAGAGTTTACAGATGGGGATTTCTTTAAAAAAAAAGACAAACACACACACATATTTTTATTGATTTCAAAGAGGAAAGGAGAGGGAGAGAGAGATGGAAACATCAGTGATGAGATTCATGGATTGGCCACCTCCTAATGCACCTCACTGGGGTTCGAGCCTGCAACCTGGGCATGTGCCATGACCAAGAATCCAACCATGTCTTCATGGTTCATGGGTTGATGCTCAACCACTGAGCCACACCGGCCGGACCAGAGTATTTTTTCAGGTGTTCATGAAGGAAAGCACCTGAGCCTTCCAGCTGCTGTCGACCACAGTGAGCACTCAGGAAACGGTGCTGCTTGCGGTTAGGAGCCTCTGGGCAGTGTGGAGGCTACGCCACGGAGCCTGGCTCAGCCCTGTGCCACCAGCTGTGTGGCCTTGGGAGAGCCGCTGTCTGGGTTAGGATGTCACCTGACTGTGTGCATGCTCCAGTGTGAGGGTTTGTTCCATGGAAGAACAGATTCCACTTTAGGGGGAGCAGTTCACCCAGGTGAGTGGGTGTGTTGGGGAGGGAGTTGGCACTGTGGGGAGCTCCCCACCTATGGGGACTAAATATCCCCCCTAGAGGTTATTCTGTTCTCCTAATCTCCCCCTCCTTCTCTTCCATTTCCCACAGGGCTGCAGGCCGAGCTGGGCTGAGAGAGATAAGAGATGAGTGACAGGAGGGCCCATGGACAACCCCACGGTCCCAGACTGGCCTTCTGCCCTTCTTGCTGGCTGCCATTCCAGCCCCACTCTTGCCTCCCATTCCTGTCCTGAACATGTCTTCTGTCCCTTGGAGGTGGGTCCCTAACTTGCACCTATATATATATTGATACCTCCACAAACAAGTGTACAGAGCTGCTCACGCTGTCAGCCACCCAGAGGCATTGTGACAGGGCACAGGATATGCGATGCGCTCACATACACATGCTTGCACACAAGTGCTGCCCTTGCCAGACCCACAAAGACCTCCCGACACGCAGTACTTCAGGTCACACTGCTAGGTCTCCACATACCGTCCTACACAGTCCTTGTTGAGCATCCCAGAAATGTTTATTGAGCAAAGGCTGTGCCGGGTACACATGCTGTCACACCATCTCAGAACCACCCTGCATGGTGCACAATCACATGAGCACAGCCTCACATGTTGCCTCAGCGCACCCCGTGACTCACATACCCCCACGTCCTCTCATACAGTCACTTGTGCCCCGTTTCTCACAGTTGTCTGGTGTCATGCACACCATCTCTCACAACCTCACCCCCATGGTCACCACCTCACAGAGCAGTCAGCCACCACACACTGTCTCTGCCCATGACGTGTGCATGTACACGCCATATCATACACCCTGGTTGCTCTCACACGCAGTTTCACATACTAATACACTCTTATACTTGCACATCATAACCCACTATCATGAAGGGTCACACGTGCTCTCACACAGCCTCACGCCATCACCAGAGAACCACAGGCACCGTTGCACACCCCACCTACCACGGCTCTTTATTCAGTCCCACTCAGACTCACACCTCCAACTTCAGGACTTTGGTGCTTTATTTTATAAATCATTGATGGTCCAGACCAAAGGTTGTGCGGGTGCTAACAGGTTGGGTTGTAGAAACTTCTGGCTCCACGCGGAGAGGGACCCTACCCCTGCTCTGAGGCCATGCTCTGTGTCCTCATGAGCTGAGTGGCGCCACCACAGTGCTGGTGGTGGTGGGAGGCATGGGGCCAGTGGGGAAGGAGCCTGTGGGTGAACCCAACAGGGGCCCGGGGAAAGGCATGAGGTGGCTGACAGGCCCTGACAGCACCACGGGGCCCAGGCCTTGGTAGAGATGGGCAGTACCAGGTGGGCCCAGTGTCAAGCCTGAGGCCACTTCCCCAAAATTCCCACCATCGCTGCCCCCAGCCACCACCATGAAGCCACCAGCTGGTCCATCAGCTGGTCCTGTGCCTCCCAGACTCGACCCTCGTTTCTTTTTTCCTTTTCCTGATGCCTTGCGGTTTCTAGTCTGGATACCATCCTTCCGCATGGTCAGTGG